ATGTTTGCCGTAAATAAAATGGCATTGGAGAGGCAAGGAAAGCCATTTTTCTATAAAGGTCCAGATATTTTATGGATGTCCTTGACGTCCTTGGGGCTACTATTTCAAGACAGCAGCCACACTTACTGACCTCACCTAGATCCAAGTATCTTGTGTAGAAAGTGAGCACCCATTAAATGGGGCTGTTTAAACAAGCATCTCTCTGGACTCAGACAGAACTAATTGTCTTTGAATCAACTCCAGATATATAGACAAGTATTTAATATAAGGCCAAGTTCCTTATCAAGAAATCTCTAAATATATCACAACACTATCTCTGGGAGATTAGGCAGTGCCAGAATATGGCAGGGACATAGCAGTGGCTTGGCATCTAGTAGCATCTGCATTTCAAATTGTCTAAGCCTCATCAGAAAGGGTGTCTTCTGCTCATAACCCTCATAGATATTTACAACTTACAAGTTGTCTAGAAATCCAGATTCATCCAGCCTTGAATAGGCACTTAATAAGTATTAGTTATTTTTGTTTAGGAGTTTATTGAGTAGAGTGGTTTGCAACCCCTACAGATGAGAATCACCTGTCTTCTCACCAAACCAATTGCAATTGGATTTTGAGGGGTGGTGAGCCTAGATAATTCTAATATGCAACCAGGATTAAAGAACCACTGAAGAGGTCCTACAATAGAAACTGAATAGGTCCCTTCATTCCTTTAAATAAATGGAAAAGTCGTGAAAATTAAATCACTTTCTGTGGTCTGATTGACGATTTAATTGTTGGACTCCTTCACCTGGAAGCCAGATACACACATTTGACCAGAACTTAGGTCTAGTTGTAGAGACAGTGGTTGGGGAGGCAGGAAGAGGGCAGAACTAACCGCTGGAGTTCCTGCTTGTAGAACTAAGTTCCAGATAACTACATATTGTGCATCAGAGAAGTGTATCGCCACCTGCAAGTCCGCAGACAATTGCATTGTCTGTATTCTAACAGACAACAGTCTTTTTTTTTCCCAGCCAGGTCAGAAATAGTTCAAGCCTTTAAGTTGGAGAGCAGGTTAGTCAAGCAGGTCAAGATCATTCTAGTCCATAATTTCATGCTTAGTTTGCATGTGTGCTGAGATGTGCCAGTGCAGGCTATCTGATAATAGTGAGTGGGTTGTACCTCAGGAAGACCATTAAACAAGGGTATTGTGTTGGCCGTTCTCCTATTTAACCAGATATGCTGAGCCAGCAGAATCTGCGATAGTGCATTCCAGGGTTACCTGACCAAAAAAAATAAGTACTCAAAAACTTAGTGAAAAAAATGTAAACTATGGGACCTCCCTGGCCATCCAGTGGTTAAGACTCCACGCTTCCACTGCAGGGGGCACGGGTTCGATCCCTGGTAGGGAACTAAGATCCTGCACGCCACGTAGCTAATAATAATAATAATAATAAATTGATTAAAGACTTACTGTGTGGCAAATACTGTCCTAGGGGGTTATATCAGTTATTTAATTTTTTAAAGAAGTAAACTAGTTCAGAGCTAAGTCAGTCAACCAAGTGGTAAGATAATCTGGAAATGGCTAGAAGGAGGAAAATGATGACGCAAGGGATAAAAATGTGGTTGATAGAGACAAGCTAAAGCATCGACTGGCTGACGTGTAATTCATACATTAAAGACCTCCTCTTACTCTGTTCTTGTGTTTGTCTGTGTGTGCTTCTCTGGGACAGGGACATATTTTTGAGGACAACAAATTGCAATGGAATGACAAGGCTAATACATGAGTATAATTGTAAGAGACATTGCATAGTGATTAAGATATATTATCTTCTAGATAAGCTTGTCAAAAAGTGTTAGAAAAATAACAATACCAATAATATTTTAAATTCCCAAGAAAAATAATTGTGAAAGCTCATGCTCAGAGAATTCATGTTACTTTCAAATAGAGTAGATTATCTCCTCTGCAAAAAACAAAGCTGGATGTTGATGGAAAATCAGGAGAATTTTACGGAAGAAGATAAATCAAAGATTTGATGCACACCCAATTGTCCTTCCTAGGCAAAGGCAAACAAAAAGCACTCTCAGGTTCTTAAAGCTTCAGAGATTTATCAGCTTAGAAAGTTTTTAGAGTGTGCACCAGAACACTGCAAGTTGACTTAGGGAAGACAACTTTAAATAGAAATTCGAAGAGATCTGGAAATTATTATTGAAACATTTAAATAAGTAAAGATTTAACTTTCAGAATAACATAATGAGATCAATGAGAAACTGATTCTGATAAGTCTAACTAATGTAATTATTGGAGAGATAGATAATGAAATTAATGGAGACTAAAAAGAGGAGAGAGAATTTAAAATAGAGCCAAACCATGTATCTTCTATAATAGCACATATTTCCTAAGGTAAGATTTTCCATCAGAATAATCAGCTCTAAAACCTTGCCCCAGGTGAGGTGAGAAGATGAAGTGCATTGTGGTTAATTCCTGAAAACAGACTGACCTGATCACACAAAGTTAGGTATAATCACACAAAATTAAGTAGAGGATCCATGCTTAATCATTGAACGGAAATTTTGTAGTATATCTGGACAATGCTGAGCTTGTATATTTGGAGTTTATGCTTCTCAAAGACTTGACCAGATTAGAATTATTCTTAGTCTATTAACAAACTTCCATCTCAATTTGTCATAAAGATGAAAAGGTGAAAAAAATATTTAGGTGTTTTGATAGAAATGAACTGGAATGTTAAAATTTTTTTGATGAGGTCATGTACTATGAGTAACAATGTACTATTGTTACAATATCAAGAATGAGGGAATGTCTTGACCAGTTAGATTATATAAGGAATATCATGTTGGATTATGCATTACAAATTAATAAAATTTGTTCTGAATAAAACAGAATGGTACAGAAACAAAATATTTTAAATCTCTGCAAATCTTTCACATGAGTAGAGAATACTTGAAGAATGATAAAGAAATACAATGATCTTCAAATATCTGTAGGACTTTCTTGTAGGTGGAGGGTTAAATTGACATTGAATAGCCCTGGAGAGTGAAATTTAAAACAATGGTAGATGCTACAGAACAAGTTACTTCATATAAGAAAGAATTTTACACCACCAGTACTGCTCCCAAATGGAATAGGCTGCTTGAGAGATTAATATATTTAACCATCATTCAAAGTGTTCAAACATACACTATAATCTGTAGAGAAAATTCAAGAATGCTATGTATGGCTATCCCAGGTGATTCTGAAGAACCAAATAGCCCTGAATTTGGGACCTGGACTGACTATTGAAAGCTATTTTGAGATGAATTTTGTAATGGCCTAATCCTAGGTACCAAAAAGTAGATATGACATAGACCTCTGGTTTAGAATAGCAAGCTGCTTTTTCTAGTCCTCTGACAGTCATTTAAAAGCATTGGACATACCAGGTGTATTGAGTTATTACCCAGTGCATCACTTTTCTTTAAAATTGCAGCTCTTTATATCTTCCTCAGTGACCCACACAGTGCCTTTTGCATAGAAGACATTTAATAATGCTTCGGGAATTGAAGCTTCAGTGCTTTTGTCTGTCCCCCGTGGTTTATGGCTATAGCTTTAATTTATCAGTATTTGCATTTCTCTGCCAATTTTTAGAATATCCAATGAGCTGTGATAGGAAATACATTCATTAACAGATAATGGAAAATTGCCTTTTTTGCTACTCAGCATGCATTTCCATTTCCTCTTGCTAAATAGACTCTGAATTTCACTCAAATAGTCACTTCTCATCTATGCAGACCTGTATCTTTGGGGAAGCACATCCAACCTAGAAGTCTAAGAAAAGGCCCTGGTTGATTTAAAGCAGTCAACACATCTCAAATTCCTGGCCACAGTGGTTCGTTGTATGGACACATGACCCAAACTGGGCCAAGGAGATTTGAGGAGATGTTTTCTGGGCAATTGTAAGAGACTAGATGATATAAATATGTGAAGTTTTGCAACTTGTAAAAGAATTCCGAAATCCAAGAGGGAAGTTATTAAACATGGAGTGGGTAGAGCTGAGAGAACTACAGACAAATTAAATCTCCATGGTGATGTTCCTGGGAACCTCTAGACGATGAAGGGCTGCTTTGGTTTGGGGGATTCTGATATGAGCAAACAGAAGCATCCTAACAGACACAGAGGCTCAAACCCATCCAAGCAGTGCAGTGACAAAACTTTGAATAACGTTTACTTTTTATTAAATCTCAACTCAGTTTTTTCCCCCCACCTCCTCCTCTGAACACTCATTCCTTGTTTCATTCACAAGTATTTCCCAGGTTAAGTATCAATAGTATTTTTCATTTCTCCACAACTTTTCTTCAAATTATTTCCTCTACTGGAGGGACCCTTTGTTGTTTTTTCATTACTCAGTAAATATCTATTTGCTTTTCAATCCCTGTCTTTCATCTAGGATTGATTGTTGCATCATCAGTTGTCTATTAAATCTTAGTAACACACCTATGGTAGCACTTACCTTTGGATATTACGTTATTTATGTGTCTAGCCTTCTTGGATTTTTTTGAGAGCATAATTTAGTTTATGATCCCTAAACTCAACGAAGTGACTAGTTAGTAAATTATGAACAAATGAATGTCTTCTAGTTCTTAATTCTCAAAAAGCAAGTTATTAGGTTTACCACAAGTAGCTTCATAATTAGGAAGTAATTTTTACTTTTGACCTCAGTGTTCAATAAAAATTTTGACTCATTCCCCATCCATAAATCCGGTTTTGATCTTCTTTTTATGAGACACAGCACTTTTTCATTGACACATTATATGTTAAATACATTTTAAAAAGGAAAGGGACTCCCAAAGAAATTTAATGTTAAAAAAAAAAGTGCAAGTATTTTCTCTGCATGCATGAGCATCTCAAGATTTAATCGCTTTTTGCCTTAGGAACGTTGTGATGTATAAACATTTTACAAATCTGATCTCAAAAAAACAATGTTTTGAATAATCTGTGCTTTAATGTAAAAACAAAACATTAATTTGTTCAGTTTCTCACACAATGCGTTTATTAAACAATTCGGGCTCAATAATTTCTTAAGATTGTAACATTTAACCTTGTAATGGAGCTAAAACCAGTTCTATTTGTGGGAGTATATTTTGGACTTTTGAACAAAAGTAAAATAAATGCCACTGTCTTTAGGTTGTGTTCAGAGCAAAGACAAAGAAACCAACTAATTCTGTCCAACTAATAAAACATCTAATGATGCAATTTCTACTATGACATTATCTTAATGTTATTATCATAGTGTTAAATATATTTTTGTTTCTGTTTGTTACTGAAGCTCAATATATCATCCCTGAACATTAGCTGTTTTTACTTAATTTAGATTTTAAATATTGAACTTTTAACTTGGGTTCCAGAAAAAAGTCCTGAAAAATAGCTGCATTTAGCTTTTTTTTTCTTGCTCTCAACTACAAATTTTCAATGTGGCATGACTTATCAGGGAATCTGTATCAGGAAGTACAGCTCTTTAACATACCTTTTTAGGAATAAAAAATAGCCACCTCTGCATCAAAGAGGGGATTCAGAATCACTAGCATTCTGAAGGAGCATGTGTTTTGATTATTGTTCCCACCTGTTTCTTTTTTAATTATAAAGTGGCAATTTATACTATCATTAGAAATATACATTTATATATAAAGCTTTGCCTTCAAATCTCTTTAAGCTTTGATTACCTAGGACCAAAGACCACAAATCAAATAAAAACCCTATATGATATATCCTATTTCAGAAGCATATGTATATATACACATATATATTTGTAGAACAATCCACTGTTTTCAATGTGACTCTGATTTTTAAAAATGCTATTTACAATTTTATGACAGAGAAATAATCTCAGCTTTTTATGATATTAAAATGAGCAGGGGATTTGTATGCTTGAATGTGTTTCACCTGGTGCAGATGAAGTTGTGCAACATCACGGAAGACCTTCTCAGAGCACAGCCTTATAGACAAAGCCATGAAGGCGGAATAGTAGATTTGCTGTTTCTGGGTCCATGTTTTAAAACAATTACTGTTGATGTAGTCATGCTTCTCCGCCAGGGAATTAGTGGTCCCAAATTAGGACCTTCAAACTTTTCAATACACAAAGAGACAGTCTTCACACTTTACTTTTGTCTTAATACCCTCATGTCTTACTAGTGGCACCACGGGACCACCAACCTATATACAATACCTATCAATGGCACTGTCATTTTCTTAAATAGAACAATTCTTTTACAAGCTGTCTGGATTAGAATGAGGCCCATAAAGCATCATCATTTGCAACAAATTGATGTCTTTTTATTGTGCTGATCCATAATGACTAAAAACGTGGTATGAAATTCATATGTAAAATTCAAAACCCAAACTATTACTGTGATCAGGAATAGGTTGGCTTGCTGTCCTCCAGTTTCCTGAAGCACAAAATCTCTGAATTAGCAAATGGAACTTCAGCACCATTTTGTTTCTATACCTCTGACTTCTAGCTTAAACATCAAGTAAGGTATATTGACCAGAAAATTATTTTGTGAGATTCTCAGTTTTGTTTTCATTCTTAAGTCCACTGATTTTGAAACATGTTACAATAAGGACTCTTAGAATAAACATATTTTAACTTATACTTACATAGCCAATTACAAAGCTTTACTAAAAGTCATAACTTTCCTGAGACTATCCCAATGCATTTAAGAAAAACAGGCTTATTTTACTTATAGGAGAATAAGTGATGGGTGAATTGAGACCCAGAAATTGGAATGATGAAAATCAAAGTTAAGAATTATTTTACTTGGAGTAAACCTGAAAAACAAACTATTTAAACTGGCTCATATTTTTGGAGGAAATAGGATAATTATATGTGTATATATGGTAATATTTTAAAAACCTAGACAGTAAATACTGACTTTTTCTATGAAAGGTTTTATGTACTTAAAAAGTAAGCAGCAATTAGGCAAATGTTCACCCTGTGTTCTAAACCATAGTTTTTGTCAGGTTAATGTGTAAAAAAATACGAGGTTTCCAATTTATTCTCTGACAGTAAGTTTCCAAAACATTTTATTGTGGTGAACATTTGCTTAAATGATATGGAGAAAAACAATATACAAATTGGGTAGTTAGAAATGTTTCTTCAGTGTTATCACGAAGGAGACAGATGTGAGTCTAGATGCTAAAAAACGAACAACCATTGAAAAAAAAGGGAAGAATTTTGTTGGAAATTCATTTCTCTACCATATTTTCCATAATATTTAACTAGATAAGATATATTGTCGTGAAATCATCAGTATAATTGATAACACTTTGAGAAACTGTCAGTTGTGTTACTTGTGAGCTTGTGATGCCTATGTATATGTGTATATGACCGAAAAGCACAAATCATTTTATGCTAAATGAGCCTGTGACCCATTTTGTAGAAGCCTCTTTTTAATTTTTTCAAAGGAAATAAGGCTTTGTGCTTGGGATTTGTTTGGTCCTGGAAGTGACAGGTGCATTTATAATCAAGTTGAATCAAGAGTGACAAGGAGAAATACAACCAGATTTGTATTTCTGTATTTCTTTTGACAAGGGCATTCTTTTCCTAGAAGAGTAACATTCCTTTTTTCTCTTTAATTTAAATGTGTGTATTTGTTACGTTCCAAGTATTTTGGTTAAACAAATATCTCTCGAAAATGTGTGTTCAAAATCCTTGCTTAGATGCATGACTTTTATTCTTTGCAACCAGTTAGACAAATTCCTCCATTTCATTTTCTGCTAACCTCCTGATAACAGAAACAGAATACTTGGTGAAGGACACGGACCACTACTGAAGAATAATGATTGTGTAGAGTGAGGGAAACTACAGTGACTTTGAAAGAATACAGCAACCAACGGCAAGGTCATTGAAGTGAGGGCCTAGAGTTTCTGCAAAGTGTATATATTTTAGGGAGTATTTGGAACAATACATGCTGGACGGTAGAGCTATAAGAGAAGTAACATGCTAAGTCTTCTCATTGATAATATCCATAAATCTACATATATTTTTTAACATTCTCTTTAGTTTTGTTTTGATTTGGATGTCTCTACACCATTCCTGATTTGTAGGACTAAGTAGATCTACTTTTTTCCAAGGCAATTGTATAACATTCAGTTCTTCCCTAACATTTTTATAACACTTTAGTATTCCTAAATATGCATTTGCCTAGTCTTACGCCGAGGTGTTTTTTTTTTTTTGGGGGGGGGGGGGGGGGGACTACTTTAAGCCACTCACACAACCCTGTCTGTTGGAGCCATGGATGTTAATTCTGTATTATTTCTCTATACCCCTTGAAAATTCAGCACATTACAAGTTTCATTCTATGCTTTAGGAGACAGACTGATTTTCAACTAGATTTATAAATGAGGATATATAGTAACAAACAATTCACTGGCTTCATAAGATAGTAAGTTAGGAATTTCACAGCCATGCCTCCCAATTCCTTGGTGAAGTTTGGAAAATGCTACATACAGAAAACTCTGGTAAGGTACAAAGACAAATACAATTTGCTTTCACCAATTTCTTAGGATTTATTTCTTTATATAAAACCCCTCTTCCTTCTTTCCTGCTGCAAGAGATGGTATAAAACTCTAAGACAGCTAGACATGCACCTATACTCTCAAAGGTGTCCACAAAGTAAAAAATCAGACCAAAATGGTATGAGCACATAACTTATTTATCACTGCCTGGGCATGGCAATGACAAAGAATTCCTAAAAGTTACATCAGCCTTAAAACCTGAAATTTTTTTCTAAATGGCTAAAGAAAAAAATGAGCCCCTGAATTAATACCTTTGAAAAAAACATGATATTCTCCTAGGAGAATCTGAAACTCTTTTCAGGAAGGAATGAAATCAGCTAATAGCATTAAATTCAACATAAGGCTATCCTTTGCATGAAACAATCTTAAATATCGATTTCAAGAATAAAATTTTAAACTTTTCTTGATGTTAAATGATTTCTGGCTATATACCTTATAGGCAATAGAAGAATCTATAATTCATACATGTTCAATATCATGGTAAAAAAAAAATCCTGGAAACAGAATGTAATTATGTGTCAATTCCAGATGTCCAAAGAAAATACAAATTCAAAACAAAACACACACCAGAGAATTATCCAGAGTTTAAGGTATTTAGGGTATTACATCGATTTGTAAGTTCAATTTTCCAAAACCCTTTTCTTTAAGGTAATAATTTTATTTCATCTTTATGATAGTTATGTTTTCATTACATTTAGCCCTCTATTAATAACAACACAGTTTATTTTAATGCTTGTGGAGTCTTGATTTATTTTTTCCTCTGCTTTTAGGTGTGCTAATCTTTGTGCATGTGCATTTTTCTACCACATTGCAACAGACAAGCTTTGGTTCGATTTTCTTATCCTACACAAAGAAAGATTTTGAGTGCAGAATCTTAGCCACTGGGTCTTGGGTTGCCATTTTATTTTCCTCTCCTTGGGTGGATTTATTGGAAGGAAATGGGTAAAGGGCGAGGGGAGAAAAGGAAGGGATGAGAGAGGGACAAAGGGAAGAGTTCTCAGCTATGTTGAATCTTGATTCACAACTTTGCCTCCATTCATGGTTGGTGTTCCGGAACTTTTCCTCGAACGCCCCTGTTTTTCTCCAATCTCATGTAGTGATGGCTCTCTGTACATACACACTGGAAGGCAAAAATCACATTAATTACTCTTTACAATAGTGGACATAAATTTGGCCTCAATAAACAGCTCAATTTTGACTTCATAATATTGTTCAGTCTCATCACTAGCTCTTCTTCCCATGTGAAAATGAGTTTTAACTTAAAACATTTAATGGATACACATAATTCTCTTCTAGTTCTATCAGTCACAACCTTTTAAGTCTTCCCGAACGGCAAACACATGGGTAGTTTCTGTTCCTGTATAGATAAGGCTTAAGTTTTTACTGTCTACTAACCTATATAATAGGATTTTCATCTAGAGTTAGAGGAGACATTGGGAGTATAACATTTAAAGGGTAGAAAGAGATATTTTGTTTTTTAGCCTTCAGCCTGCAATCTTGGGAAAAAATTCTTATTTACATGATCCTAATCTTTACCCTACTGCAAGAAATATGACATTGTTTTATCAAATTGAAATATTTATTGCCAACTTTCAGGGTATTCATCTATAGTTATTCATCAGTAGGAAATGTGATTATGCAACCGTGAGATTTCAGTTCACATCTATATAAACACTTCCTTTTATCTCTGTTGTTTTGTCTGGCTCTAAAGCTCAGTCATCTGTGAATTATCGTGGCTCTTGCTAGATTTTTGCATAGAAAGAAAAATGTTTTTCAATTCACAAAGATAAGATAGGATCTATTAGCGTATTGAGTCCATTAAAAGAGATTCATTTTACTGTTGTGAGACAAATGTGACTGTATATGAGTATATGAAATATTTACTTAAATATCAGGAGGTATTTTTATCCTTGACTTAGGAACAAATAGTTGCGTACTCCCATCTATTGAACAATCACTACAATACCTTGGTAATCTGAATGTTATTTCCAATCAAATTGCTTCTGCCGATGGGCTCTGCCCTGGAACTGGAGACCCGAGCATGGCCATGAATAAAATAGATATTGCATGGTGGTTAAGAGCACCAATTTGGGAGCCACACTGCCTGGTCTACATCCTTAGCCACTTTCTAGCTCTGTCTAATGGACACACAGTAAGCATCCAAAGATGTATAAGAAGAATGAATGAGCTGATCTCTTCATGAACATTATGAATAAAAGATTTCAGAGAACATACTGATAAATTGTTTTGGTTGAAGGTATATCCTAAATCCAAAACTAGATTAAGAGAGTTAAGATACAAGTAAGCTTCTCCTCAGACTCGTTCAGTGATGAAGAGATAGGTCTCTTCCAACATCTCAGTAGTAGGGCTTCTTAAATGTCCATGTGCATCTGAATCACCTAGGGGTGTTGTTAAAATGAAGACTCTGATTCAGAAGGTCTATAGTGGGCTTGAGATTCTGCATTTTTAATAAGTGCCCAGGTGATGCGGATGCTGGCAAAACCGTAACCACACTGTGGCCAGTACAAAATATATATATAAAGCATGTTTGTTAAGTATATTGTGCACGATTATTATATATATATATATATATATATATATATATATATATATATTTTTTTTTTTTTTTTTGCAATATGCGGGCCTCTCACTGTTGTGGCCTCTCCCATTGCGGAGCACAGGCCCCGGTCACGCAGGCTCAGCGGCCATGGCTCACGGGCCCAGCTGCTCCACGGCACGTGGGATCCTCCCGGACCGGGGCACGAACCCGCGTCCCCTGCATCGGCAGGCAGACTCTCAACCACTGCGCCACCAGGGAAGCCCTACATATATATTTTTAAATGAGATTTTAAAATATTTCAGTTATTGCACTGAATGGTCCCTCCGATATCCTCAAAGGACTAACTGCCTTTGGCCTCACTAGCAAAGTATACAGAGGAAACTAGAAAGAATTGATCCTGTAATTTTCAGATGGTGCCAGTAGGTAATTCAAGTTTCTACCTTTCTTTTACAAAAGACAGAAGATCCTTAAGATTCTATTGAAATCTTGAAATTCCTCAAGCCTAAGGTCTTTTACCTATATTTCTGTTATACACAAGTATTAAAATCCCCCAAATTAAAAAATATGTTTATATGTGCAAAATATAGCCATGTATTTATAACTGGTTAGTGCACAGGGGAACTCAGAAGTAATGAAGTGATTCAGTTGGAAAGTTATTCATATGATGCCATAAAGCAGTTTTTCCCTACTCTGTCACCTAATCAGTTGTGAAAATCCCCAGACCTGACTACTGACTGCTAAATCAGCCTCAAAGAATGAAAAAAAAATATTTAAAAATACACACAATAGATTTTGACACGCGAATTTCTTAAACTTCAACTAGGCACTTGAAGAATATTACTCTTTAATTTCCATTAAATAATATAGTTTATAGTTTTGTTTTTTGTTTGTTTGTTTGTTTTTGCGGTACGCGGGCCTCTCACTGTTGTGGCCTCTCCTGTTGCAGAGCACAGGCTCCGGACGTGCAGGCTCAGCGGCCATGGTTCACGGGCCCAGCCGCTCCGCGGCATGTGGTATCTTCCCGGACCGGGGCATGAACCCATGTCACCCTGCATCGGCAGGCGGACTCGCAACCACTGCGCCACCAGGGAAGCCCTTGTTTATAGTTTTTGTATCTGAATTTCTTACTGTTGCAATTTCTTTTTTGTTTCCTTGTATCATAGATTCTACTCAAGACATTTGTTTTTAAGTTTTATCTTTTTTTTTTGCTATTTCTCACACATAAAATACTTAAGTTATGACAACACAAAATGTTGCCATTATAATTATCATTGCAGATAGCTTTTCAAATAACTTAACTCTGCTGACCATCCTAGTATCAAGTCCCCGTAGAGTTTTCCAAACTGGCATCTAAAATTTGTCAGTATTTCAAAAAGAACAAAACTCACTAGTGTCATAGCAAAATGTGCAACTTGCTCTTCTTCTAGGACAACTCAATCACTAATTTTCCAATATTTCCATTAAATGGAGTAATAAACTTCCAGGTTTTGAAAAATATATCTTATATATCGTAGCTGGAAAATTAAGAGTAATTAAACCAATAGATTCAATTTAATTTCTTGGGCTTTAATTTTCATTGTTATTTACAGACTCTCAGATGCCAGTAATACTACCTAACTTAAGAAGCTGACAAATAAAGGGGGATGAAACTCAATCAAGTTTTAGAATTAAAATGTAATTAAGAGACCATGATCCAATTAGAAAGCAAAGAAAGAAAGGACAAAACACTTCTCTTCAGGAATGTAACCTCCTTTGATAGTTGTATTAACACTCCATAACTGTGCTATTCTGTCTGAATGGTACATAATAAAATGATGACACAAAATACAAGAAGAAAACAAGAAGGCATAAGTGTTCTATAAAGTGCATTATAAGCTCAAAACGTAAACCCAAATCACTGTGATGTACACAGTAACCACAATCATAACCTCTTAAATAAACCTTTAATCCCGTCAATAAATCTGTTTCAGAATTTTCAAAGCCATTTCATTTATTTATTTTTTATAGGCAAATTGTCTTTTAATGAATTGTACCAACAGACAGAATTTTACATTTAACCCTAACTGGGACTTCTTCCCAGGCACTGAATGATCACAGAGAGACTAGACTGTAGTAGAGAACCCGAGCTGGCATTTGACTGTGAAGATTTTCCTGCATGCGGCTGGGGAGTGCCGAAACCTGCCCAAATGGATATTCAAAGCCATTGTAAACTGACCACCTCATTTGATAATTACAATAACCAGGTGAATAAAGTAGGCGAGAAACATAAAAGAAACTAAGCAACTTCCCTAAAGTCAGAGGGTGAGTAGTAGCCGAGCCAGATGGGAGTATAGGATTTCGAGGTCCTAGTCAAAAGTTTTTAATAAAAGCAGAAAAACAATTCATCAAATAAATGGTATAAATGACTGTCTTATACCAATGTTTAAGTTATTTCTGTATATTAATGTAGATCCAAGTTGGCTTCACCTCTACCAGATGTTCTTAATGTCATCCAAAAATGGTAATGAAAACAAATTCGGGATGCCTATTATAAAAATAAATAATTAAATAACAAGTGTTGGCAAGTAGGTGGAGAAACTTGAACCATTGTACATTGCTGGCAGGAATTTAAAATGGACAGCCACTGTGAAAAACAATATGGTGAGTTCCTCAAAAAATCAAGCATAGAATTACCATATGATCCAGAAATTCCACCTCTGGATATACACCCAAGAGAAATAAAAGCAGGGACGTGAACAGGTATTTGTACACCCGTGTTCAAGGAAGCATCACTTACAATAGCCAAAAGGTGGAGCACATTTGGTTGGTTGAACAAATGAACAGATACACAAAATGTGCTATATACATACAATGAAATATTGTTCAACCTTAAAAAAGAACAAAGTCCTGACACAAACATGGATGAACCTTGAGGAACTAAGGCTATGTGAAATAAGCTAGGCACAAAAGGACAAATATTTTATGACTCCATTTATGTGAGATACCCAGAGTAGTCATTAATAGAGACAGAAAGTAGAATGGTGGTTGCTGGACACTGAGGGAAGGGAGGATGGGAGTAAATACTTAATGGGTACAGCGTTTCAGTTGGGGAAGATGTAAAAGTTTTGGGGATGGATGGTGGTAATGGTTGCACAACACAGGAATGTATTTAATGGCACTGAAATGTACTCATTGGCGCTGAAATGTACTCTCTTTTTTTTTTTCTTAATTGGAGTATAATTGTTTCTCCCTTTGGGATTCCAATTAGATAAGTATTATATCTTCTCACTCCTTCTTCTGGATGTCTTGGACTCTGTGATATTTTCTATCTCCTCTGCCCTTTTGTCTACATTCTCAAGAATTTCTGTTTTTTAGATCACAGTTCTTTTTTTTTTTATTGGAGTATAATTGCTTTACAATGTTGTGCTAGTTTCTGCTGTACAATGAAGTGAATCAGCTATAAGTATACATGTATCATCTTCCTCTTGGACCTTCCCCCCATCCCACCCATCTAGGTCATCACAGAGGACTGAGCTGAGCTCCCTGTGCTATACCGCAGGTTCCCACTAGCTATCTATTTT